ATTATCATTTGCTTCCGTGCTCGTACTATGAGGCGCTAGTAACTGCCCTAGACCTTCAGGGCCCTCACAAAACCCTTACAACACGAAGGGACGAAGGGAGACGACATACGACAAACCTCTATCATCTAGATGCTCCCCAAACCCTACAAGCAAGAAGAAAGGGGACATACGACAAACCTCCAGGGCCCTCACAGAACCCTTACAATAGGAAGGAATGAAGGGAGGCGACACACTACAAACCTTTAGGCCCCTACCAAATCACAGGATCACGAAGCGGGGGCGTCATCTGACAAACCTCCAGGCCAATCACTAGCCCCTCATAATACGAGCACGGAAGCACATGATATGTGATTATCATCTACACACTCCCCAGACCCTACAAGCACGAACAAAGGGGACATACGACAAACCTCCAGGACCCTCCCAAAACCCTTACAACACGAAGGGACGAAGGGAGGGGACACACGACAAACCTCTAGCCCCCTACCAAATCACAGGAACACGAAGCGGGGGGACATACGACAAACCTCTAGGGCAGGCACTAGCCCTCATAATACGAGCACGGAAACACATCATATATGTTAATCATTTTGATGCTCCCCCAAAACCTATAAGAACGAGAAAGGGGAAGCACACAAACCTCCAAAGCCCTTACAAAACCCTTACAAAACGAAGGGACGAAGGGAGGGGACATACGACAAACCTCTGGCCCCTACCAAGTCACGGGAAACGCGAAGCGAGGGTGCTCGCCTAAGTCTGGCTGTTGGCCGGCTGGATCTACATTTACTACTACTACTACTACTACTACTACTACTACTACTACTACTACTACTACTACTACTACTACTACTACTACTACTACTTTCAAGAAGTTTTGTAAATAGTAAACAAAGGGGCGTGCCAAATAGACCCTAAAGGTCCATGCCACATAAGGTTATAGCGTTGGGTGGCCAGGGCCTGGGTTTTTGTTGAGGTTTGCGGCTTGGGGTATGGAGCCTCGGGTTTTTCGGGTCCCTGAGTTTCGGGCCCGCGCAGCTTCGCCGGGACCCCAAAAACAGGGACCAACGTTCAAAGAGTGGACCTCGTGTACTCGTGGTCTGTCTATGAGGGGCACGAGCTAAACTGCCTTGAAGACGGAGTTTCGCAGTCTTGGTCCAGCGCCATGTAAAAAATCTCAACCCAAAGTCCAAAGAGAAGCTTCGGTAAGCCAGTAAGCGTATGTTGTTAGCCCTTCATCTTCTTCTCCTCGTCCCATACTTCTGCACACAATGCTCAAGCGTGTTGAGAGGCCGGAAAGCCGGAGATTGAGCCGCAAAAGTTCCCCGCAAGCGTGGTGCTCTCCCGAACCTTGGTGCGTCTGAGCCCCAGTTTGGGCTTAAGGGGGTTCACGGTTGACGGGGCTTGGGGCTCAGGGTTCAGGGTTTACGGCTGCAGGCCCTTTAAAGCTCTCAAGGCGGGGTGGTGCACCCCCATGTGCCCACCAAGCAGATCCGTGCTCCTGTTGCCCCAACCCGGAAACTTGAACCCTTAACCCTAATCAACCCTAAATAAACCCTAAAAAAGCCCTAAAAGCAAAGGGAGAACAAACCCTAGATAAACCCCAAAATCCTTGAAAACACCCTGAAGCTCCTCAAGCACCAAAAGCCCCCAAAGCCCAAACCCACCTGGACCCGCCTCAAAAACCCTAAACAACTCAAGCCCCACAGCCCCAAAACCCTGAGAAGAAAACCCTAAGCTTCTCAAGCACCAAAAACCCCAAAACCCAGAGAAACAACAGCTCCTAGCCCCAAAAGCCCCAAAAGCCCCGTATTCACCTGGACCCGCCATCCGAGGGCGAGAGCCCCCGAAGGGCAAGGGCGAGGAGGGTCGGGAGCCGCTGGACGACGACGCCCAGTGGTCAGATGGCCGGGTGCCAAACGGATTTAGGGTTTTGGGTTTAGGGTTTAGGGTTTAGGGTTCAGGGCTTCAAATTTAGGGCTTCGGGTTAGGGCTTAGGGCTGAGGGGACCCAACGCTTAAGCCCTGTGAAGCCTTAATCGGGGTTCAAGGGCCTTAGGTTTGGGGCTGCAGGGCTGTTGAGGGACGTGTTGTTGTAGAATCTCGGTTCCACAAGGATCTCTATCCACCCGAATTCAGACCCGGAAGCGCCTTTATGAATTCCAAAACCCTCATGGCCGAGGCGACGTGAGCGAGGAGGAAGACGACGAAGGCCAGTGCTCCACGCCCGGGTTGCTAGATTTTGGGACTCCCTAAGCCCACCCTCAGCTGCGGCTCCAGCTTAAAAAGGGGCCTAAAAGCCCCTGAGCCCACTCTTTCGCAGCCCACTGAACTTGAAGCAGCATACGAACATCCTCCCTCGCCGATACTTCTGCAGGTGAGCGCACCGTGTGGGAGAGAGCCCAGCGTGAGGGTGAGCCTCCCACTCAGGAGTTTTGGCTCTTCTCCGCTGTTTTTGGAGTCTTTTGGGCCCTGCAGCCCTGCACTTGGCTTCTAAACCGTAGTTCTTTGGCCTTTGCCGAGCCTTGGTTGGGATGGGGATGGCATCTCCCGTATAAAAGTCTAAAAGGCTCCGTATGATCACGAAAAGCGTGGGTAGATGAAGTGTTTACTTGCTTTAGCAAGGGAAACGGCCCAACCGGCGACTTTTGTGTTACCTGAAAATGTCGAGGAAAATGGATGGTCGATGATCGGTGGGTGGGTCGGTGCCTGGGTGGGTGGGTGGGTGGGTGGGTGTAGATCGTGGTCTGTGAGCACGCGTTCTCTAAAGCGCGCGTTTGGGAGAGATCCGCAGGACTTGGATCGCGGTCTCGGTGAGCGCACGTGTGGCCGTGTGTGCGGTAAGGCTGGTAAGGTGGAGTGTGGAGTGTGGTGCGCTGTGTGTGGTGGAATGTCAAAATGTGTGTGGCGGATGTGCAGTGGTGGTGGAGGTGGTGGTGTGCGGTGTGTCTGAGTCGAATACATCTTGGAATCAATCCAGGCTAGCTTTCGCAAACCTCGGCTTTGTCCCTCAAGCCATCGGAACCCCAGAGGGCACGATGTTTCATAGGAAACCCATGAAGCTTCCGTGGCCTGAGGCAGTATCTCCCCACCAGGGTTTTGGAGGCGCCTGTCCAGTTCCACTGGTTTCTATTTGGAGTTGGGAGGTTTCGGGCGCAGGGAGGGCTCAGGTTTTGGAGATTTTGGGGTTGGATAGATGGAGGGTACCGAGTTCAGGACTTTCCCTGTTTTCTTCATCTCAGACTTCTGGTTGGTTCGACCGTGGCAGGGTCAGCTTCGTGGGTGTAAACGTCTTCCCGGCAACGATGTGTGCTTTTGTTACACACATGCACACCCACACCACTCCCTGACGTTTTCAAACACCAAGCAGGTGAGCGTTCACCTCCTGACCTAAGGCCCCCAAAACTCCGTAGGCCAGACCGTAAAGCTCACCCTTTCCAAACCACGGAATACGAACGCATCAATCTCAAGACAAGGCCTTCGGATCTTTCTGCAAGAAGCCCTTTACCGTACCTTATTCAACCCCACATGTTGACTCAGGGCCTGTTGCCCGAAGCCTTGCTCAAGAGCTATCGCTTCTACCAGCCCGGGTCTCTCAGTGTAGAGCTTGAGGGATTGCACGGAGGGCCGTGGAGTGTTAAGTTCTTTAAGAGTCAAGCTCTGTGGTCGCGTAGTTCTGTGCCATCCCCGGCAACAAGCCGGGAGTGTCAGCTACTGTCGGCAGTGCATGTGGTTCGCCAGACTGAGAAGGCAATAAGATGCAAAATCATACTTCGCCCCACTACTCTGGAAGAGACTTCGGGCATCGGACCGTTCTAGCTGCATTAGCAAAAGCAAGAGTTCAATCCAGCTCTGACTCTGCATTCCCTAAACCCTAAACCCTAAACCCTAAACCCTAAACCCTGAACCCTGAACCCTAGACCCTAAACCCTGAACCCTGTATACCCGATACCCTAGACCCTGAAATCTCATTAGGTGGCCAACCTGAGGGACCCCTGGCTCTGAGGACGAATGCGTGGCCCCATCGGGTGATCCATGGATACAAGGCATTCTCCCGCCCTTCTTGCAGGAAACTCCGGGCTTCAGGGCTCTCAGTTTGTATAGTCTTCAGCCCTGAAGCCTACGCCCCATAAGTGTTTCTCCTCTCTCACGTTGCAGAGACTGCCATCTTGCGGGCGCAGTCGCAGAAGCAATATCGGTGCCAGGTTCCCGGCTGGAGGCTTGTGGACTAGTGTTGCAGTTGCCCATGATCCATGAGCCTAAATATCACTACCACGGGAAATCCTCTTTACAACCCCGAGCATGGTTGTAGTGTAGCCTGCCCAAGATTCCTTCTGCATGCGGGGGCCCTTTTCCACTCAAGCGGCCCCGCTGCAGCGCTTTCAATTCTGTCGGGCCGCGCCCCTTGTCCAGCATGTGGCCGCCATTTGTGCTACTTCTCGTGGCCATGGGCCAAGCCTTGGGGCAAGCCAAAGAGACGATGCACGTCGTTGACCTAGCGCAGGCCGGTCAGGGAACAGCAGCCCGAAGACAGCAAGGGTGGTGATGGAAGGGGTGCAGGAGTCCTACTGGGCAATCTTGTCAACACCATGCGCCCTGAGGAGCCTAGTCGCTTAAAAAGCTCTTCACACCCCATGCCTAGAAACGACCTTGGGATTTCCCCCCCTTGCCTCCAGGTCGTTTGCCCCAAGCCACAGAGCAGCAATCCAAATGCGCCAACTCTTCCAGAGTCTGGGCTCTGTTGGATGTTGAGGGAGTCATGATCAGGGGTTTGCAGATCTTGGTGGGACAGGAAGGGGGTCCGGGGAGTCCGTTCAAGATTTTGAGACATGGCATTCGCCGCGAAAATTTCTCCTCGTCTTAGTGCCCTAACCTACTACGGCATCCTTATCTTGTTGCTTCGGGGTCCCGAAGGGACGGAGTTCAGGCACGCACCCACCGGACGAACTGTCGGGGCAGCATTTTCCCAAGGACTACACCTTAGGGATTCCACAGACGAGCTCAATGGAGATGGACTCCCCGTACATTGTCAGCTTCATGCGCGCAAGCAAGCAGGCGTCGCCCTGTTCCCGAAGCCCTTCTTTTCTGGGCTTGGGTTTTCGGCCCGAAGCCTCGAGAGTTAAGGGTTTTTCGGGTTTTTCTTGGGGGTTTCTGGGCTTCGCATTGTTGCTTGCGCATGCCACTCTGCTTATGCCCATCGCGCTGCCAGTGCCGTGCTGCACACTGAAGCCCTTCCTTATTCGTTTGCATGCGTCTGCTTTTCATTCGTAGCAGCCAGCATCCACCTCTGTTTACCGGCACGAGGGCGAGCACTAAGAGCGGAGAACGGTTGCCACTTCTGCGTTGTAGAGCCTCTGGAAGGCCATGTCAATCTCCTTCAAGATCTTGGACTACAACGGCGAGACTGTAGTGACCGACACGACCGTGCAGCTTGATGATTTGACTTCCGGCACCGTGCCTACCTCGTGCGCGTGCACATCGCCGAGCTTACCTTCGGAAGTGGTGGCTGTGTACGGTTCCAGCTACGGAACATCGTGCCAGGCTTGGGACAATGCCAAATGCGATGAGTGGTGGGGCTGCCTGTCTGATAATTCCTAGATGTCCTGCCACTGCAGATCATGCCGGAGTCTGAGAGCTGTGCCAACAATAAACCCTAAACCCTAAAAACCCTCAACCCTAAGCCAGTGAGTGAGATGATGACCGAGGTGACATCTCAGTCGGCTCCTGGTGTTGTCGGCCCTGGTGCTATGCATCACAGGACTGCCCGGATTCATACCGAAGTTCTGCGATCCCGGGTCAGTACTTCAGCTATGCTGCATGCAATTCTGTGAGCGCGGTGTCGCCTTGCACATGGACAACTGTGGCTGCACAAAATGACCCGTGCCAATGCAAGAACTTTGCGAGCGTGTTCCTCGGAATTGTTAAGTTAGACTAGGGCCTTGATTCGCAGTTTTTCAGGGTGGGTCTGCCATGCCCTGGAAGAAAACCAAGGTTCAGCACGGCTATGAATGCCACTTTTACAAGTGAGTACGGAGCCACTTGTGGAACATGGGACATGCAGAACTGCGCCGTCAACTACCGGCCAGACCAGGTAGACACCTGGTGCTGCAAAAGCTGGTGCTATGTGGACGCCTGGCTGAATCGAACTTTAAAAATCTAGCAAGCTTGTAGATTTCGACTTGCAGAGGTACTATAGTCACTATAGAAGATATCCAAAACCCGCCAAGGACAAGGCCTGTTCCACCGCGAAGCAGTCTCTGAACCCCGGCATGGAGGGCATCCTATTCTGGTCGGAGAACATTTGCCCAGATGACCCGGTTTTGGTTGCACAGTGCCCTTACAAGCCGACACCAAACGTCTCTGCAAGCGACAGCTCATGCAATTGCACGAATGAGAAGATGCCCACCTACGACCTCCTGAAGGCAGGCTTGGACTCGACCTATGAGGACTACGGCCGGCAGTGCGCTCCTCACGATGCGACCGTCTGTGACATCACTCACCCAAGTGCATCGCACGGGATGTGGTGCTGCATGTCCTGGTGCTGGGTTGCTGAAAGTTGCCCCACAGCGCGGGCATCAACCCTTTGGCCAGGAAAGTTCTTCAGCACCACTGGATGTGAGATGGATGCGGATGTTGTGTCTGGCTGCAAGTACGACTTGACATCCTGCGCGTGCCTTGGGACCAGTTGGCTCTTCGTTTGACACTCGGGGTGGGGGGGTGGGGAGATGGCTCCTGCCATCAAGGGGAGTTCTTTGGTTTCTCTTTGGTCCGGGCCTTGTAAAACTTAGGCCATGAACCGATAAAGTGTTACTACGAAGCCTTCGACTCTTGAAACGATGCTTGGCCCTACTCTAAGAACAGACCCCAACCCCTACACCCATTTCAGCCAGGTGCCGCGGCACCCTGCCCAGTGGGACGCTTCCCAGTGGATTTGCCAGCAACTATGGCTCGTCATGCTCCTGGTTTGCAGCTGTAGATCATCAGGCTTTTTGAAGACTTTCCAGGCGGAATAAAGGTGTACCCTGATCAAAATATGGTTGCCGGGCGCCTGGCTACGAAGTCATGCTGATTTCGGAAGCCGTTTGCAAGCTTTTGCCCTGAACCTTCGAGCCTGGCAACCCCAACTACCCTCCAAACCATGCACTCCTAAGCCCTAAGCCCTAATCTTCTAAACGCTGCACTCCCAACCCAGAACCCCCTGACCCCCTGAGCCTCCCCAGACCCTAGCAGCCCTGAAGCCCTGGACCGCCTCCTTCAGCCTTGCCTCGAGGCTCGCCGTGGGATGCCACCGGCTGCAAGGCGACCTGGAGTCCACCCGGCTGAAGTAGTCGGTTTTGCTCTCTCTCTCTCTCTCTCTCTCTTTCGTTTTAATTTTCTCTCTCTCTCTCTCTCTTTTCTTTTTTTTTTTTTTTTTCTCTCTCTCTCTCTCTCTCTTTTTGTTTGAGTTGATCGCGTTGTTCTTATGATTGCGAGTCTGATGGTTGTTAGCATCTGCATGAGAGGCATGTGTTTGTGTGGGCGATGTGTGTGCACGTGGGGGTGAGCGAGGTAAGGACTCACACATGTCAATTTGGTCACTGTTGGTCCGTCCCGCCAATAATTCTTTGAGGCTTAGACAATCAGTCCCAGAATTCTGGGGTTCGGGCTGTAGGGTCACGGGGTCGGGACTAGCGAGCAGCAGTGGTTTCTTTCGCTTGCTTGAGCTGGGATTCTCGATCTCGGTGTTATTACTCCCATGGGATACTCGGTCGCTGGTTAATGTTTGGCATATGAAAGTTCTGGGACCTAAGCTCTAAACTCAGGTTCGGATGCAGATTCGCAGTGGAATACCCAAGCTAATCACGAGTGGTGCTGCGATTCCTGGTGCTACGTCGACAAGGCTCTAGCATACCTGAGAAAGTTCCTAGAAGAAGTCGCTCTCGGTTTAGGCTTCGGGTTGGAACTTCGGGCCCTTCTGATTGAACTTCTTGCGCTCTGCGGATTTCAACGGGCCCTTTGTGAGGAGCTCAGGCGGCGATGGACTGCTGGAATCCCTTGTCCCCTCAAATGCCCCATGAGAGACAGGTGACTACCTCGATGTTGAGCCATGGGGCTTAGGGGTCCATTGCTTGACCAGCAGTTGACCCGGGTTGTCTCGCTCCCCATGAAAGAGAACAGTGAGTACTTCACAAGCATTGTACGATGTATATATGCCTTCAATGAGTAATACACAATTGACAATACTTGGGCCATTGGGGTTTATCCCTTTCATCCCTCTGGAAGGCGTGCCCAATCGCTAAAGAGTCGTGGCTTGGCACCGGCTACTACTTCAGCTACGAGACGTGCCGCTTGTGCTGAATAGTTTTACGAGTCTTCTGAGGTCGCCCAGATGAACCGCATGGAAGGGGCATTGATTTCATGATAGATCTCAGAGTCGGAGGTTGCAGGTAGAGTGTTTTGGCAAGCAGCACCTCATCTGCCACCTCTCCGAGGCGACGATCTTTCCACGACTTACGTCGAGTCTTCCGACTCTTGCGTTGCAAACCGGAGGCGCGCGGTGAGACGACTTGGTGAACTGGTGACGCAGGCACTCGGAGAGGCAGGGGGCGGGCGATGCCGTTAAATACGCGGTCACTGTCAGCGCTGCATCTATAAAGAACCTGTGATGTACACAGAGACGAAGTAGCATGTTAATATTTTAGTGTACATACACACGTAGTGCATGTATGTACATGCAGCATATACATCAGTCTGGAAGATGAAGTAGATAACTAGCGGGAGCTCTATTTGGAGGACGTGGAAACGGAAGGCGAGTCCGCGCAGCAGCGTCTACTCTCAGCCCGTCGACGTGGTGGATATAGCTCCTCTACCTCGACCACCCGTCGACGACGCTCTCCCCCTGCACCAGCTACGACTCGGAGAAGGCGAACTCCTTCGGCACCGTCAGCATACAGCACTCGTCGCAGAGCTACTCCGACCACGCCCCGGCGCCGAGCAGTTCGCCGGAGAGCACCTCCTCCGCCACCTCCGCCAGTAACAACTTCCCGGCGCCGAACCCTTGGCATCGACGGTCAGTCTCATACCATGACTCCACGGCGCAGGCGAGCTCCAACTCCCACTCCTTCTCCCACCATCAGTCCCCGGCGACGGGCTACGCCTACACCGACTCCGACGCCTTCGCCAACTCCCACTCCCACACCCACGCCAACCCCGACTCCTTCGCCATCGCCTTCTACCACAACGAGGCGGAGGCGCAGTGTACCATATGGTTACACTAACAAAAACCAAGTGGCGAGCAACCACGGTGGTACGATGCCCCACCATACTTCCTACGGATACTCCGGCTCGAATGCTGTGTCAGCCAACCAGGAGACTAACGTGGCCATGTATGCTGCAGGAGCAGCGGCTGCTGCTGCAGTGGTGGGTGCTGGGGCGGCATATGCCTACAACAGCATGTATGGGGATGCATACGGCGATCACCGTCGTCGCCGAGCAAATTCTTTCGAACAGCCGGATCTTTGCACTGTGACAGCGCCTGGGGAGCGAAATGGTGACTTCATGGAGTGCCAGAAGTGCTACGACCACTACAGTGCAGACCTCAGTTCTCTTCCGGAAGGGTCTTACGGATGGGAGATTGTGGCAGTACCTGAGCTTGAGTTTGGCCTTAAGCTGGCCCGAATGCAGCGCCATTCCGATAGTATTCATGTTTTACGTAAGGCATCTCCAACTGCGTCTCTGCAAAATCTTGCAGCTTGGCTTATTGTGGTTCCGCCTGAGATTTTCCTTTCGGTTCAGAGTGAGCCATCCGAGGCAGCGGTAACCCAAAACCCTAAACCCTAAACCCTAAACTCTAAACCCTAAACCCTAAACCAAAGAGCCTCAACCAAGGCATCGACAGGTTAAGCGTGAACTAGGCCATGTCGGTTCTCAAGGCCCAAATCCTACAGCTGGACCCTTAACATTGTGATGTTCCCCCTTATACTAACAGTCCTGAATGGGGATTATAACAGGGGGCGTACGATAATCCCTATGAAGGACTGTTAGTATAAGGGGGAACATCCCAGCCTTAACCCCAAACCCTAAACCCTCACGACCTTGGTCTCCAAAGCAGTGAGGTAGCACCGCAACGGGGTGCAGTTACAAGCCACCACAGAGCTTGAGCCGCGATGACCTGTCAGCCACAGGCTCTTCAGGGTTTAAGGTTCAGGTTTTGGCGTTTAAACAGTTTAGGGAGACAGGGCTCAGGGTTCGAAGTGTAGGGGGTTCGGCAGGAGAGTGTCGTCAGGCTTGTGATGCTCATCAGCTAATCGAGGAGGTCCCACGCCAGAGCGATGGTATTTGAATGGAAGTATGCGGCAGTTCCATGTACATTGCCACGTTGTGATACGCTGCACGAGAACTCGTGCAACTAGCATACACACTAGAAGCCTATTCCATACTTGCGTTTCGACTGTGCTGTTTCATCTTGCTGTACTGTGCGCTAGATCGATATTGTTGCGCTGCACGCTGCTGTGTAAGTCTGCAGGGTGCTAGGGTATGCACATGTATGCACTGTACATACTTGCTCTCTTATATAACCATCTCCCTGGCTATGCTTCAGAGCATGACATCCCCAAAATGTGTAACTCGTGTGAGCACTATTCCCCATGGCTCAGGCTTTTGCTACATGCGGCTGTCTAGGTAACCTGAAGCATGAGCCTTGCAGAGTTTCCTTGCAGGGTTCATCCCCAGCGGCTACACCTTTCCGCTCCGCGTCGTGTTCACCAACATCTCTGGCGCTGGAATTGTGACCGATCCTCTGTCAGGCCTGTGCACCTTCGTGCCTTTTAAGTCGCACTGCTTCGTGTTGCAACTTCAGACGTTGAGCCCTACCTGCAAACGTTCAGGCGGCCTGTGCCCTCCGACGACTCCAGAGCAAGCAGATTTTGTTGAGACATTCAACAAAACCATGCGTCCCAGCAGCATCTTACTGAAATAGCTACAGACACTAGCTTCCACTGTTGCTTAATTATTCTATTGCAGGTTTCAGGATCTAGGGCTCACGGCCCAAGCTGAAGGCCTCGCTGCTTGTTGCCGTTGAGAACCTTTTGCCGTTCACATTGCTTACAAAGAGCACCACCACGGGGAACTCCGACCACCGACGTGCAGAGCAAGACGAAATTTGCATACGTGCTGAGGCCCTTCCACCACAAACCCCCCAACACCCCGAAACCGCCGCCAAGACACTGGTTCAGACTTTCGTCAAACGCCCTCAGGCGTGTAAACTTGAAGCTCACACTTTCTAAGTGGGTGAGAACCCTCCCAATCCCCGAACGCTCGGGCTCCAGCAACTGTTCCTCATAGGATCCCTCACCCCTCACTGCACACCAGCCGTGCGGAGGATTTTATATCCCACAAGAAGTCGCTTAAACCCTAAACCCTAAACCCTAAACCCTAAACCCTAAACCCCGCCCGAAAAGGAGTGAAGGGTTGTTAAAAAAAACCCTAAACCCTAAATCCTAAACCCTAAACCCTAAACCCTTAAACCCCTAAACCCTAAACCCTAAAACCCTCCCCACCTCGAGACTCCCCTCAAACGCCTTGAGGTCGTTCAAGCCGGAGCTGTTCCTCGTCCTGACCAAGCAGACTGCACTCCGTGTCCCGGAGCCATGTGCCTTGCTCTTATTTTAGTAAGGGATTGAGGGATTTAGGGATTTAGGGATTTGGGGATTTAGGGATTCAGGGATTCAGGGATTTAGGGATTTACAGACTTTTCCGCAGGGTTCAGGATGTGAGATTTGAGAGTCCTTGACCCTGAGAGACCCCTTGGAATCCTAGGTGACACAGACACATCGACCACCTGCCGAAGCAGCTCAATCTGCTATGCCAACAACTCGGTCTGCGTGGACGGAGTTTGCCTTTGTGACACAGGCTGGAACCTCTGATGGCCAAAATAAAAGCAGAGAGCGCACATGGTCCAGAAACGCGCCAATTTTGCCAACCCTACCTCTGAGATCCTCTGAGCACCCCTGGGTTTCCCAGCCCTTATCGAAAAGCCGTGTTGCAGGCTACTGCTGGGACGGGTACACCTGTCAAACGCAGGGCCTGACAAGTGGAACACAGGGCTCGGTGTTCAGTCTGCTGACCTTGCTGGCCATCCTGCCTCCTGGCCAAATGGAATAGTTTATTTGCGTCTGTCCACAACTTACCCAAAAAGGATACTGCTTTTGGACTACACCTTGCCAGGCTGCGGCGAGCTGTACATCTTTGAAAAGTTTGAAACCTTGAGTGCATATGGGTGTCTCTGTGCAGGGGTCCTGTTCCCGAAATTATGGGAATCTCTTTGCCACGTGCCCAGGAGAAGCTTAGGGCCTAATTAGGCCTAGGGAAGCCATGAATGCTTATGAGGCTGGCAAGGGGGGGAGCCCTCAGAGAGAGAACCTTCGTAGGGCGTTCAACATGCCCCTGATGGCAGTCTGCGCTTGGTCGGCTGAGCACTCTGCCGGCCATCCCAGCGAATACCATATCTCGGGCTACGGTGCTCTCTGTGCTATCTGAAAACAACATAAGGCTCTTGCAAGATAGATGCAGTCAATCCTTCATCGGCTAGTCCTCTCGGAAGAGTTCCTCATAGTCTGCCAGAGGCACCGTAGTCGACAAGGGACTAGGGGCTGCTGTGTACTGAACCACTGCACTCCGTGTTTTCCGTAAATGTCCGAGGCGCGCTTTCGCGGCACTGTCAGATACATTCGCGCTTTGTACAATGGTCCAGACAGCATAGCCATTGGGCCCCGAACCCTAAACCCTAAACCCTAAGCCCTAAACCCTAAACCCTAAACCCGAAACCCTAAACCCTAAACCCTAAACCCTAAGCCCTAAACCCTAAACAATAAACCCTAAACTCTAAACCCTAAACCCTAAACCCTAAGCTCTAAACCCTAAACTCTAAATAGGTCCATAACCATCACCGTTGGGGAGAGATGGTCGGATACATGGTTTCGTGAATTTGGGCGGTGCTGCCATGCTGCGACTCTGGTATCCGAATTCAATCTGAAGGCCACTGCAGGCCTCGGCGGAAGCCTGGGCAAAAAAGCTTGGCCACGGCTCAGGTTTCGGGATGTTGAGTCGTTACAGCACTCGTCTTCGAGGCACAGGGTTGGCTTGCCGTGGATCGTCGTGGGATGCTTAGCGGCGTAGCGAGATGAGAGCCTTTGGGGGAGGAAGGCCTTCTTTGCCGGGATGTCCACTACTTCCCTTGGTTTCGGGAAGCCAGTAATTATCAGCACAAACAATCTTGGGTGGTGTCAGTGTTTAAGGCCCTCTGTCTTCCTTTTGCCAGTTGAATGAGAAGAAGGAGGAGGAGGACATGTCAGGGGCACCCCAGCATTTCGTGGAGGCCGGTGAGTGCTTGAGGTTGGGTTAAATAAATAAATAAATAAATATATATATATATATATAAATATGTATATATATATGTATATATATATAGTAGTATAATGTAATATCATATAATTGCATGGAATGACACATGCATACACGCACGCATGTATGCATAAATGATTGTAGAAAAACATGTGACACTAGGTCTGCTGCTATGCATTCCTTGCAAACGTTGTTTGTATGTTGGGCCAGCATGCCGCATCGGCAAGGACGCACATGTGTTTTGCTTGCCACATAAGCCGGACATGCCCGCCTCTAAGTGCGAGTACTACTGCCAACAGTAAGAACAATCAACATCATCGTCGTAGTAGGAATAGTGATGATTCAATAAGTTTGCCACGGGAGAAAAGGTAGAAGTGGTTTACTGTGCGGCGTCTCTTATTCCGTGCTTTTTGCTTTGCAAAATGTTGTGTCATGAGTCTATATGCAAAGTGCATAGGTCTCGGCCCGAGCACGGTTTGATGTTTCCCCTTGCTTGGTTTCACCGGTTGCTGTGCTCACCTCATAGCCGTGCGATTCTCTGCTCCTCCAGCTGCAGCACGGGAGACCGGGTGCGCTGTGCAGCCTCACAGAGGCTTGCCTTATGGCGACGAAGCAGAAATGGGCCGGCGCATGACCCCGCCCTTTGGTCTGGGCAGCCAGGGGATGCTTACTTTGCTGCTTCGCCGACTGCCTCAAGAAGGGAGACCTTATGACGTCGTTTCTCCTCCCCCTGACTTCACAGAGAGAAGCATGGCGGCTCTCCGCAAGTACAAGCTGGACACGGCATGTCGTTCACGGCAGCACTGGACTCGGCACAGCAGCGCTGGCAGCACGTGGAGCTGTACTGACTTCAGTGAGTTGCAGTCCCTCACGGGGCCATATTGTACCGTCATGGCCCGCGCAACTGACTGCTGCTTTGCGTGCTCCTGCAGAGGGAGCGGGATGGTTGTTGTTTGCTGAAAGGATCTCTTGCCAATGTGCAAGATATCTCCTCAGTTGGCTCTGTCTCACAGGATGGAGATATATGAAGATATAAAACCGCAGTTCCCGTAGCATGCTATATCATTTCGGCTTACGAGACGTACAGCCACCTCAAGCTAGTACGGATGTGATACCCAGTTGCTTTGGACGAGTATCATACACGACCTTATGTGAGTCTTGCGGATGATGGGAAAATGCGCATTATTCTTGACACATGATAACCATGTTGGGAGACCTGTGGGAACATTGAGAACGAACAGCCTGTTGGAAGGTCTCAGGAAATAGTGACAAGATATTCAGTATTCTGGGTCCCCGGGACTTACAGTAAATGATGTTTTCGCACCATCCTACGTGCTGGAATACTTCCTAGTCTGATTTTCGAGGCTTACCATCCTTCCTTCTCCGTTATCTGTGTTTGATATACAATACATATACCCTATATACATACATGCTGCGGGTACTCCAAATCATTCTCTTTGCATTTTCACAGGAGGCAAGCCCCGCGCCAACAAACTCCAATAGGTAATGCTTAAACATTAAACCCGAAACCTGCAAACCTATAGAGTTAAAACCCGGGAGGGCTATCCCTGTGAGGGGTTTAGAGATAAACCTTGAAAAATACCCTGAGCCTTTAAGCCCTATAGGGCTTAATGGTTTACAAACCTAAGGTCTCGGCATGTCTACCTTCAGCGCCTTTGGGCTTAAAACCTGTGAGCCTTTCTGGGCCCTACGGGGTTTTGGGGTTCCGACTCTAAAGGGTGTAGGGTTAGCGGTTAACGTTTTTGCATTTTCGCAAGAGGCAAGCCCTGCAAAAGTTGGCTCTACGCCAATAAGTAATGCTTAGACCTTTAACCCGATAGGGCTAACCCCGTGAGGGTTTTAGAGATAAACCCCGAAAAACCCTAAACCCCAGGCCGTTTCAATTGAAACGGCCAGAATAGAGACGATCCCATATGCATGATTACGAGGTGTCTCGAAGGTCTTGGATGAATGACTGGTTGTGTTCATTGCAAAGCATTTGGAACTGTTTCATTGTGGGAAAAAGATACGAAAATCATTGTGGGAAAAAGATACGAAAACGGTGGATCTTTGTGGGGGGGGGGGGGGGGTACCATGTATAGATACACACACACACACGCACACACGCACACGCGAGGCCTACATAGATAGGGCTGGCATTGTATCTTTGGTATGAGGCGGAGGGGTTGCTTTTCAAGCTGGGGATTGGGTGTGGGTTGTGAGCTATGAAGTGGGATTGGCTTTTCGGATTTGCACGTCTCGGGGCTCCGGGTTTAAAGGGCCTTTACAAAGAACATACCGGTCACTGGTGGCCTGCGCCTGTCACTAGAGCTTCGCCTCAACATTTCAACAGGATCGAATCTACCCCAACACCTTAAGGTCCCAAAGCCAGCTATCCCAAACCTTAATGTCCTGCACTGACCTTGGATCCAACTAGCCCGAGACCGCCTTAGCCGTCCATCCCCGAAGCCTTTCAGGTGCGCCTGGTTAAAAGCGCAGAGGTCATTCCGACGAGGAGCTTCGTGAAGTCTTTCAGTGCGAGAAGTCAACGTAGGCTCGGGAACCTCGGTAGCTTAGATGAACAGTTCTTTAACATCGTGGTGCTTTTTGTTGTTTTGTTGTTCATCGTGCACTTTTGAAGCTTCTCTTGTCATGGCTTTTGAGTCATCAAGTCGAGCCTGTTTTTTCTCATTGCAGAAGATGTTCAGGCCTTGGGTGCCCGAAAGCCCTTGTTTCGTATCAGCTGCCACCCCAAAGTGCCTGTCGGATGCGGTGTTGAGTCTCAGCCTTGACAGCTCCAGATTCCAGAACCTTCCACACCATACTTGGCTGGACTTGTAGTACCCAAATTCATAGTTTGTTAACAGCATTTAGCAGCAGAAGAAGTACAGAGAGCAATACAGCCAACTCAAGATTTTCAGCTACCACAAGCACCTCAACGTTATCTGCAGAAGTTTCAGGCTAAAGGGTTTGAGATCTACAAACCTAAACTTGGAGACCCGTACGACAACGTGACAGTAACATGTACAATGCAAGGATGTTTCATAAGAGGCTTAGGGCTGTAAGAAACTCACGTTTACTTATGGTTGAATTTTCTTCAGTGAGCGAACGACCATCCTTGCTGGGATGAGAATACCGCCTCAGGGAATATGGATAATGTAATCTATTGTTGTCCCCTTGGTCGTAGTGATATTCGTGGGGGGGGAGGGGTAGGGGGGAGTACAGAGGTGTTTGCAGGGTGGTTTTAACCAAAACTGGTGAGGGTTCTGCCTCGACATGTCAGCGGGAGGGGATACAACTCTGGGCCCTGAATGCCATGGACCCTTCGGTGAAAGAGCTCTTGCAGCGCCCCGAGAATCGCGTGTGTGCCTGGGCCTGCTGGAAGGATTGGTGGGCTTGGAGTTGATCTGGGCTGGACCTAAATTGTTAGGACCCTTGCTCGTACTCCAAGCTATAAGGAAGACAAGAATGAGACCCCAAACGGGATGAGGGGATTGGGACTTGCAGAGGCCTCGTCCTCTTGTGGCAGTGCCTAGGACCTAGGAGAATGTGGGCATTGCTTTCCAGGCCGAAGAGGGCAAAGCCTCCCAGACTAGCCCTTGGTTCCCCACTCCATGTAATGTAACGCGCTGTAGGGCCTCTTTTGCGCTACCACAGGTAGCCCTCCTATCTAAGGTGGCAAATCGCCTTTGGTATCGATATTTTCTTTATGACATGATGAAAGACTTCTCTTGCAAGGGCATGCAGAGACGAACACGGAGTCTAAACCACCCCCATTTATGATTCAGGGCTTGAGAGCCTCAGGAACAACTCCTTCGTCGTGTAGAGACTTTGAACCCCACATATGAAGTGTTTAGGGTCAGGGCTTACCTAGAGACTAGTCTGATGTAGTTCTTTTCCAGGTTCCTTGTGCTGAGTGGTTCCCTATAAAGTCCTACCGTGCACCACCCCAACGGAAACTACACTGGAGCCCTTCAACAGCGTGTAGGCGCTCCATGTTTCAAGCAGAGAAACCAGGTGCCGACTGTGGTGAGCGCGCGCCGCGCTGGTGCAGCATCAACCTTGGGGTGATCCTCTGTGCCGAGTGCGCCTTGGATTCGGGCTTTAGGGCTTCGGGCCTTAGGGTTGAGGACCGGGCCGTTTAGGGTTTAGGGTTCAGGGTCTAGGGTCTAGGGTTTAGGGTTTGGGTTTAGGGTTTAGGGTTTAGGGTTTAGGGTTTAGGGTTTAGGGTTTAGGGTTTAGGGCTTCGAGCCCGGGAGTTTGCAGGACTTGGGCCTGAGGCATTCTGGCGGAGTGGGGGTTTTCCAATCTGTCTTGAACCCCGTAGGGTGCGGGAGGATGGCCGGGGCACTGCCCGCGCGACCTAAAGAGCTCAACATTAAAAGGCCCGGACTCGAAGAGTTGTGGGTTGAGGGGTTGATATAAGGGGTATATAATGGGGTCCCCTTTTGAGGGCCCCTACTAAGGGACCCTGTGCTGGAAATACCCTATAAGATAGGGGTGCTTAAGACAAGGGCTGGTACTCCCCGGAGCAGGCGCTGGCATACACCGCAAGCTGGGAACCCACATCTCCTTCGTGCAGAGCTTGAGCCTCGACTCGCTGAAAGACGAGTGGGCTTCGTGGGCTGCAGCCAGGGGTTAGGCTTAGGGTTTAGGGATCAGGACTTAGGGTTTAGGGTTTAGGGTTTAGGGTTTAGGGTTTAGGGTTTAGGGGACAGAGATTGCTTCGGAGTTTCCTTTCTTGAGCTACTGGGGGCCTTGCACAGACTTCGAGGGCCACCAACATGCCAGGGCTGTATGGGCATTTGGGTAATTGGGAGGTCTTTGGCCCAAGGCATACTAAAACTTCAAATCCCGGGCCCTAGATCACAAAGCCCCTAACCCAGACTCTTAGGCCCTCACTACGAAAGGACAGGAAGGGAGCAATCGAGAATCTTGTGCTGCAGTGTTTTCCTGATTCCCTGCCCCCCCCCCCCCCCCTCCCCCTTCAAACAAAAGACCAGTTGCCATTTAGCTGCGAAAGGACGCCCCTGTCAGAGTCCTCCTCCCTAGGCCCTACACTCTAAACCCTGAACCCACCCAACCCAAACCCCAAACCCCAAACCCGAAACCCTAAACCCGAAACCCGAAACCCGAATTCCCTAAACGCTAAACCCTAAACCCCAAACCCTAAACCCCAAACCCCAAACCCCAAACCCCAAACCTGAAGGTCCAACAGCTCCTCTCACGGGGGAACGCCGCTGGGGCCGAGCGATTCGAAGCGGCTTTGCCCCAGTCCTGGACGAAACCAGAGGCAGATGTTTGGGGTTTAGGGTTTGGGGTTTGGGGTTTAGGGTTTCGGGTTTAGGGTTTAGGGTTTGGGGTTTAGGGCTTAGCGTTTGGGGTTTGGGGTTTGGGGTTTAGGGTGCGTGTTCTTTTCTCTTCCCCAAAGGGGGTAAGAATGGGCTTATGGGCTTTGGGGTTGAGAAGTGTCGAGGGCTCGTTACAGGGTTCTTAAGGTTACATACCTTGAACGCCCCCCTCCCTCCCGTAAGAACCCTCAAAGCGAGGATGCGGATTCGAGGTTTCTTCTTCAAGGATTCGGTCCATACCCTAAACCCTAAACCCTAAGCCCTAAGCCCTAAGCCCTAAGCCCTGAGCCCTGAGCCCTGAACCCTGAACCCTAAACCCTAAACCCTAAACCCACCCCCAAACCTTCAGCCTCAGGCTCTCAGCACCGGAGGCGACCGCATCGATGCCAGAAGCGGGTACCATCTTGCTTCTCGACCTGCATCCCTAGAAGCCAACAATCCCGAAGCAGCACCGGGAGAAGCCCGCAAAGAGGAACCCGAAAACTTAGTGGCTGTCAGGGCTTCGGATTGAGGATGGCTCGTCTAGGCTGGCATACTTGGTTTCGGGGTTTTAGGGGGAATGGAGGATGAGGGTTCTTCAGTTTTTGAGCTCAGAATGCTAGAATCAAGATCAGGTTTTCAGGACTCAGGGTGCAGGTGTTGTGCTAAGCTCGTGGAACATGTGTGGCTGCTTGCTTGATCGAGCTGCTGGTCGTTTGTGCGTGCCTGGCTCGGATCTCTGGTGCCATTCTTACGGCATGGCATGCGAGCTGCACAGGCTCAGATGGGGTTGCCGGGTTTGAGGTTGCTGGTTTTGGTCCTTAAGAGGCCAGCGCATCGGCCGGCAAACCCCTAAAATCCCAAACCCTCACGTACCACGTGCGGTACATCTCCTCATATGCCGCGGTCACACTTTCTCGTAATGCCACCATCGTGAGCCTCCTGTGAACTCAACAAAAATGGCTCTGAATTGGTGCCAGCTGCTAGCCGCAAACCCCCGATTTCCAGGAACAATATATCAGGGCGAAGTACGAGCACCAGCTCTTTGCGAAAGCAGGGGGCCAGGTGGGAAACTTTGGTTTGGGAAAAATCGATGGGGAGAGAGGGTTTCTGGGCCATCAGAGTTTGGGACTTTAAGGTTTTACAGGGTTTGGGATTTCGAGTTTCAGGGTTTGCAAATCCGCGGGAACCCGAGAAACTTCAAGCCCTAAGCTCTGAGAGGTTTACCTTAGAAACTCCTTGAAGTGAAATGCGTCAGCCTTCCGAAGTCGCACAGTGTCAGCCTTTGGGGGGCCTGCAAAGGCTCTGTCGAAGGTGCAGAGGCAGCTTGCAAAGCGGTGTTCTACTTGGAGGTTCATGGTACTTATGAACCTAATTATAACTGTACTTATAACTGTACTTATAACCATAGTAGGGCACTGAAGGGGCTTATCGGTACAGTTGTAAGTGCAGTTATAATTGGTTAACGAGTATCATGAACCTCCAAGTAGGTGTCTGAGTCGCCCTTCTCCCACCGCTTCCGCGTGCTGCTGCGCCGCCGAGGCTACCGGGGGTGTGGGGCTCACAGCTCGTGGGACGAAAATGGGCTTCCAGACCCGCTAGAGTATCTGCCTGACTATTGCTCACTGCAGAACGCACCTTCCTGCCGGAGCAAGCAATCATCTAAGTTGAGCCCACTTTGCCAAAGACTTGGCCCAAACCGCCTTCCGTCCCAGGCGAAACCCGGTAAGTCCCGTAAGCCCTCCAAGCGCTACAAGCCACCCCGGATCACAAGTCTGCCCGTGAAGCCTGTACCCTGAACCGGAACCACCAATCCTAATCCCTGAGCCTGAAAGCCTAAGCTTCCCTAGGCCCGAAATTGCCCTAAGGCCTTTAGGGCAGTTTCATGGTCCCTTAGCATGGGCCCTTAAAAGGATACCCCTTATGTATTCCTTGTATACCCTTATCAAGGGGCCAAACCCTAACCCTAAACCCTAAACCCCAAACTACCCTAAGATACAGCCAAAGCCCCAAAGCAAGCAGAGACCTTGGACAGGCGCGGAGCCCTTCGGCCTGGCACCCTCTAAGCCGGGGCTCCGGCACGGCAGCCTTCGACTTCGGGCAGGTGTGAGGGTTTAGGGCTTAGGGTTTAGGGTTGAGGGAGTTTAGGGTTGAGGGAGTTTAGGGTTGAGGGTTTGGGGTTTAGGGTTTAGGGTTGGGGGAGTTTAGGGTGGTTTAGTTGAGGGTCTAGGGTGTTTTTCGGCTTTAGGGTGGCGGGTTTGGGGCTTCGGTGCCAGGATCTTAGTAGGGATTCAAGGTCCCGGTTTTGCATGCTCACTTCGTGGGGGTTCTCGGTTCAGCGTACAGGGGGTGTATAGTTTGAGCTCAGTATAGGGCTCGGGGGCTTAAAGGTTTGCAGGAATCAGGGGGTGGGATTCAGGCGTGCAGGTTCTGTTGGGGACTGGGTTAGGGCTTCGAACATGCAGAATAACGCTCGGCCCTAGGCGCACAGAGCTTCTGAGCTTTGGGAATTCATTGGGAACGGAGCCATCAGTTGGGCATGTAGCCATTTAAAGCTTCGGGTCTGGGATTTATGGCGTAGGGTGTAGGGTATCGCTCAGGCGTTGGGGTTTAGGACATGATTAGGGCTTCAACCTCGCCAGATCCTGCACCCGGGTCACCAGCCGAGCAATGGAACGTTGCCGGGGCCTGAGAAGAAGATAAGCCATTGGGCTTAGGATTTGTAGTGCTTTCCCCAGCAAAGCTACCCTCCACATCTAGGGTGAGCATGGGAGACTCGAACGGCAAGCTCTGAGTTGCGTAGCCGTAGCACATGACACCCCCAACACCAAGAAGGAAGCAGTCTCTGCATTGCATTTTAAAGAGGTGTGCAGTGTCAAAGTTTGTTTGGGGATCGCAGGCTTCAGACATCTCAGAATTCTTTCTTGGTGTCGAGACTTTCCTCAGGCACAGAGCAACCCTGCGCTTCGCCTCCGCACTCTGGCAGCTACTTTAGCATTTGGGCATTTTAGGGTTGAAGCCTGACCCACCCTAAGTCTTCAACCCTTAAGCCCGAACCCCGAACCTCCACTACACACCTACACCGCCTACACCCTAAATATCCCTACGCCCACAACCATTCAACCTGGGGACCTGAACCCTAAACCCTTCGACCCCAGTCGCTCGGAAATACCCAGGCCAGGGAGATAGCCTGGTGCGCGTGAACGGCGTGGGTTCCGGGCCCGAGGGCGGCTCGGAGGCCCTAAAGCAGCTGCAGCGAGAGAGCCAGGCATGGGCTTGGGGTTCATGGTGTCGACGTCGGGTTTGGGCGTCTTGGGGGCTCAGGGTTTTTTTTTGACCTTTCAGCGATGGTCAGATCCCAATTCAGGATTGAGGCTCTGATTCCTCTGATGTTCCCAAGCTGGCCACTGAGCCTAAACCCTGACGAGCCCCAAACCAAGACCAAAATGGGGCTGATAACCTGATAACCGAGAATCGCTGGCGCCTGCAGGTTTTGCTGGAGGTTGAGCGTTTTCGGCCTCCAGAATTTCTCAGTGCTTGAGCTGCAGAATGCTGTTGGGGGTTGTTCCACATTCAACAGTAGGCTTCTTTCGGGAGTCCAGTTGTCAGGCATGGTGCACACGCCACCATAAGAGTACCGTAAGTTGAAGCACTCGCAGTTCAGCACGTATGGGCTTTGTAAGTTGCTTGAGCACCTGTGCACTTTATTTTCAGGACAAAGTCAACCAGCCTGACAAAGCCGCACCAACCTCAATTTTTAGGACTTTCCTTCGGGATGGCTGTTGGAATTCCTGTGTCAGCTTCACAGTGTGGCAAGATAAAGTTCTCGAAGCAAATCACCACACGCGTAGTCTAATGAGATCCTGAGATGCCCCAACCAAGCACTGCTCCGACACTCGAGCTCTACAGTAAGTCAGGTAAATTTCGAAACAGGGCCTCACTGCCAGAAGCTGATCACTAGCTGCTTTCCATTTGTTGCAGCCAGCAGCTAGCAGTCAGCATGGTTCTTGCTACTCCCAACTTACATTGCCAAGCTGAATCATGGTGCAGCTCGACCGTTGAGCAAAAGCCTCTTCGAGGAAGCCTTTTTCCCCACTCTTCCAAGGCTACGCCTGGCTTGTTCCGGCGAGCTACCTGCTCTTCAACCCGGCAAAGCTCAGCTGCTTTTGCTGCAAAGTGGGCTGGGACTGCATCTTGACCGTGCTGCTTTTGATGTTGTTCGGCTCTTGCAGGGTTGTGGAGGGGCTTCAGAGTCAAGCTAGTAAAAGAATCGGTCTGAGGATAGGCTCTGTGTTGTTGACATTGATCTTTGCTGTATCTGGTGGGGACAAGTTTGGGCCTTTGGATCACTAAGGTACGTCATCTAGCTTGCTTGAGAAGCACCGCGGACGCGAGAAGGAGCTCTTCTTGCAGATCTGCCGGGCCCCCAAAACCTCTTCAAACCTAAACCGAACCCTAAACCCTAAACCCTGAACCCTAAACCTTAAACCCTAAACCCTAAACCTTGGATCCCAAATGGCTGCCTCTGAGCCTCCTCAGATATTATGAGGTTCAGTCGATTCAGTTCATATTTTGCTAAAGTTAGGGTTCGCTGTAGCGTTCAAGGTGTGTTATGTTTGTGGCCCAGGTTCCAAGTATGCTTCACAGCCAGAAGACTGGGAGGCTCGCTGCCACAGCTTGCTCAGTGCTTTGTCGGAGACCACGGGAAAGTGAGTTGCTTTAGGATTTAGGGAAGTTCAGGGTTCAGGGGGTTAATCTTGCGGCGCCTGTGCTCGGATGTTTCAAAGCGTTTGCCCTGAAACAGTACCCGTGAGGATGTGCTGCAACTTCTGGCCATGGCGCCTGGCGCTGCAGCTCATGTCAGCCAGAACAGGAGGGCAAAGCGTGTTTTTTCGGCAAGGACCTTCGTGTGCGGAAAGGGGCCTGTTTGGGGATGGTGTACTTTCACATTCTGAGCCAGTGTGAAGCAGAATCGCTAAGCGTGTCTGGCGGTGTAAGAGCTTCCTTTTGGCGGGCCGACTTGAGGGGGCCCTGGGAGTTTAATATAGGGGTCGGAATAGTTACTAACAATGTTCCCTGATGGTCCCTTTGTAGTTATACCATAATACCCCCCCCCCCCCCCCAAAAAAAAAAAAAAAACCTTATTAGGGGCCTATATTACTATAATAACCCCAAAGAAGAACCCTACTAGCGGCCAATATTAGGTTTGAGAGGCTTACCTTGGCAGCCAAGGCAGCGACCGGAATGCTGCGATGATCTCAAAGGCTGGGACACTTCTCTTCCTCCGGGGGTTTCGGGGATAGGGTTTAGGGTTTAGGGTTTAGGGTTTAGGGTTTAGGGCTCAGCTACCTGAAGACGTGTAGCTGCTCAAGAGACTGAAATGTGTTCATCAGAAGTTCTCACTTCCAGGAAAAGCAAACGTCCCGCCTGGAATGCGTAGGCCCGGGCCAAACTATCGCAGTGTCAGCAGGGCGAGGACCGCAACAGTGGAGATGCTTGAGCCTGAAACTCTAATCCTTCCAGGTGTGGCATAGACTCGACTACACCCCCACCCTACCCCTCAAACTGAGGCCCAAAGAAGGCTGGATCGGGGTTATTTGCGGTTATTTTGGCCATCTTCGGGGGCTTACGTTTGAGGGCACCTTTTTGAGATCCGAATTATAAGGGGATCCTACTATTTGGGGGTCTATTTAGGGGTCCCCTATTTTCGTAAACCTCTAAATGTCCCACTTCCTCGAAAATCCGATCACCCCCTCTCACCTTCCTCCAGCCACCCAATTTCTTAGTGTCTTTCTTTGGGCCCGGCCACGGGCCCTGTCTTTATCCGAAAGCTTTCCTGGTCCCGAAATCTACATCCCTCACGAGACCCTGGACCCCTACTAGTCTACTAATTGCTTAAGAACCCCCCCCCCAAAAAAACAACAACACAATAAATTGTTCTTCCATATAAGGGTAAGACAGGGATTATTATCTTTCATTTTGTTGGGTTCTTAAGCAATTAGAAGTCATGCCCAAAGTTGACCACTGCGTCAAGGAGTTGCAGCTGCTCGAAGCCCTTTGTCGCCACCTCGCACAGGTGGCTTCCCACTGTGTATCCCAGCCCTGTCCCTGACTAAAGGGTTTAGGGTTTAGGGGCAACTTCAGGGGGTCGGGGGTGGGGCGGCGGGAGGTGTTCAGGGTTCAGGCTGGGTTTACTAAACCCGGACCACACACGCAAACCCCAAGCCCTAAGCCCTAAACCCTAAACCCCAAACCCCAAACCCTAAGCCCTAAACCCTGCAGACCCAATGACCCTAAAACAGAACAAGCCCGAAGGCCCCGAAACCTGCCGCGGAAGCCATTTTTCTGCTTTATGAAGCCGCAGGGGCCAAGCATGGTGGCCGAAGGCAGCAGCGAAGACGGTCCGCTACCAAGGGCCTTTTTCGGGGGGTTCAGGGTCTTCTCAGGACTCGAGCTATTTGTGTTTGAAGATTCTTGAGTGTATCTGACGTGGCGGTCATGAGACTGCTTCTCCCTTGAAGTGCCATCTTGACAACTTAGAGACTTGGAGCTTCATCTTCCCCCCCTTTTGCTCCCCCTTGTCTCCCTAAGAACCCACAGCTCTCTCCACTCTTGTCCAGTGCCTCTTTGTGGGCGAGGAGTGGCTTGGACCCCCTATGCTTGGCCGCAGCTCGCGGCGCGGCAGCACTTTTTGCTTTTTCAGCATTCCGAGTGTTTGCAGCTTGTGTCTGGAGATGAGTAGTTCTTAACTTAGGAGTTGCATCTGCGTATCCCAATAAGCAGCACTGCCGAAGATTGCGAGGGATGGAGGGCACAGGGCAGTGCAGAACTGAGACTTCAGGCTTAGTATCGAATTCTCGCAGCATCGGGTTTTGGGACATTGGTATGCAGGACGAAGCCCCCAGCACCATGTACCAACAGGTAATAACAGGCAGGAATGGATCTCCATTCTGGATGTTGATGCCATGCAGGTTCTGCAGCTGGACTACAGCGGTGGCACGCTGGGCCTTCTGCACGACCGGGCGGCCCTGCAAAGTGGTATGGTGATTGCAGCCCGCCTGAGCTTAGCACATGGCTGTACACGGTGCTTGTGAGGAGGTCTGTTAAATCAGAGCTGCCGGGTATCGTGAGTCTCTGCAGCCTGCCTCCTAGGGCAAGGGGCGACGAACTCTCCAAAATCTTGTGAGGATCATGGCCGGCTGTCCCACTCTCTACCCAGGTCCGAGATGTTGTGGAGGGCTCGGCTGCTGAAGCAGCAGGCGTTCTCCCAGACGACCTTGTCGAACGTATCGGCAGCGACGAACTCAGCTGTTGCTGACCCAGAGGTTGCGATCTCTAGCTGCTTGCACCCGGATGCGAGTTCAGAGCTGTGAGATCTGTGCTGCCCAGTTCTGGCGAACGCGGTTGGCAGCACTCGAGGAACTGACATACCCTGCCAACTCTAAACCCTATAAGCCTTGACTCAGAATGTTATTTCCTGCAAACTCTAAACTTTAAAAAACTTTGAAGCCTCCTAAACCCTAACCTCGAAGCCTCCTAAACCCTAACCTCCAACTTCATCCCCGATTGCCCAATCCTACACTCCGGTGAGCGACGTCTGCCAGGTGAGGATGCCGTTGACGTGGCGCTAAAGAAGAAGGAGGCAGGCAGTTTTAGGGCTTGTAGGCTTGTAGGCCTTGCAGGGCTTGTAGGGCTGGTAGGGCTGGTGTAGGGCTTGTACTGGTAGGTGGCTTCAGGTTTATAGCCTCTCGGTAGTTGAAGTTGAGGGCTCAAAGGCTGGAACCCAACTTTCAGAGACTTGCCGTCGATGTGTTGTGGGGCTTCGGGGCTGAAGGTCTCTGCATGAGTTGCGGAGGTGTCTCCGGGAGCGGACGGGGCAGTGAGCCTGGCCATCCGACGGCGCCCGACAGAGGAGAAAGGTGTGGTCTGCATCGCATGGCTCCACGGCCTTCCTGTTTCTGGGGGGTTCAGGGCCGCGAGTACTTAGAGCGTAAAGGTCCAGGTCAGAATCTGTCTCTCCCTTCTCGCCGTTGCCACGGCTGGGCAAGCTCGTTGCAATGTGAAGCCTCGAACACTTGATCTCAGAGTTTCGCTCTGTCATAGTTGGGTAACCTGTTACATTATTAAGGGTGCCTAAACCCGGTAAGGAATAGGAATTTACATTTTTCAGGCTCTCCCAACCATGGACAAATTCAGAGTCCAGTATATACTGCGGAGACTGTTGCAGGACCCGTGGTTGGCAGGCGACTGTTGCGCTTCATTGTGGGAACCTTGTCCAAGGGTGCCAACACCCTCGGGGTTCAGGGGTTTAGGCTTTACACGGTTCAGTGTGGCTAAGATCACACAGATGACCCGGTCTTTGAAAATCTCTCTCTCTCTCTCTCTCTCTCTCTCTGAGCTTTGCAGCCTTCATTGCTGGGCAAGGTATGAATGCCTCAAGGCAGCCGCAAGACAACGTCAACAGCGCATTAGCAGCAACAAAACTTAGGGCATAGAAACAGCAGTAGCCTCAACGCCAGGACAGTTGGGCTTTCTAATAAAGAGCTCAGGGCACGCAGAAGGGCCCGTGATTTAGGTCGCTTCCCCACCCCCCCCCGCCCCGCCCCAAGCAAAAAATGTAGACGTTTGCATGCGTGCGCTTGCGCGTGTAGAATGTTATGGAGATGTCGACCCAGGGCAAAACCTGGTCCCTCATACCAACCCCCCCCCCCCCCAATTCTACCCCAAATCTCTGCACCCTGAAACCCGGTTCAACCATTAAGCCCCCAATCCGATAGACCCAACACCGAACCCCCTAAACCGTCAAACTGTAGGAAACATCCACGAATGTTTCCATCCTCCCCAGGTCCGGGCCGGCCGATCCTCTACTTGCTGAACTTGCTCTACGCCGCAAGAAGCTGCATCAAGAGCTTGTGGGGTTTGTTCATGGGGCTTACCCTAAACCCTAAACCCTGAACCCTAAACCCTAAACCCTAAACCCTAAAAAGTGGGCAAATGCTGGCATCTGAGCATGAAGCTGCCGCGAGCGTTTCGGCCGTGCCTTTTTTTGTTGTGGTAGGAATCCCCAGCGCCGATTTCGAAAAAGACATCGGTCATGTGGTGCTGCAAGTCTTCTTGTGAGGACACTGCCTTGGCTGCATACGCAAGATCCTTGCAAAACAAAGAGGATGACCAAACAAGTGCGATGCTCTTACCCATGTACACAGTGCCAGTGAAGGATCTTCTGCTGATGGGAGAGATTGAACCGCATGAAGAGCTAAAGGCAAAAGGCATTCTTGTCGTGTTTGACAAGAGCATGGGAAATGCAGCGTTCATTTCACACCAGTGGGTTGGCAATAACCATCCAGATCCGGAGTTCAAGCAGATGCAGGTCCTGCAAGCCGCTCTCAGGCATATCATGTCCGACTTGAAGCACATACCCCTGGATGTCGTCACGGAGATGGTCCTGCCAGGATCTAAAGACCTACCTACATCCAAGCTGGTGGAGAAGGAGCTGTTCATCTGGTACGACTACTTCTCTTGCCCTCAGATGGAGAGCGCCAATAAGGGCTCCAGAAGTGACTTGTCCAAAGCTATCGAAAGCATCCCCGCCTACGTCGCCTCATGCGCTTTCTTCTTCGTGCTCTGCCCGGTCATCGAGAACGAGAACTTGCAGAAAATCTTTTCGCCTCGCAGCTGGGCCAGGAGGGGGTGGTGCCGTCTGGAGAGGGCCTGCTGCGAGTTGGGCCAGAATCAATCCTGGATCGTGGTGAAGGCCCCCACAAGCTTAGAGCTGCTTGGGAAGAATTTGGCATTTTTGAAGCATTGAGCTAATCTGAGCCGCTTGAACGATCTAGAGCCTCAGTTTCAGATTAGAGTCGAGAACTTCGCCTGGAACGTCCAACAAACATATGCCTCTTTCCGAAGCACCCGAAGCCCCCCGCGCCACAAAGGCTGATCTCATGTCCTTCAGCATCCATGGGCAGTGGGCCTCCTGGGCAAGGAGACTTCTCAGTCCCAATGGACCGAGCGAAGATGGCACCGGTGTTGATGGCCACGCTGAAACGCAAGATTCTGCAGCTTTTGCAAGCTCAGGATTTCGTGAGCTACCGCGTGGTGCTGAACCAGCAGAGTGTGTACCTGAAAGGGCTCGAAGAAGTCGGAATTGAAGGCAGCTATAAGCCAGTCCCTGGCTTCGAGGAAAGCTTTGAGAGGGAGTCCATGGACTCTTGCTGCCTCCTTGTGGAAGAGTTCCTGTACCAAAACGGATTCCGGAGGATTGGCGAGCGGGATGCGGGAGGATGGATGCCCTTGCACTACGCTGCCCTGAGCGGAGATTTGCCGTTAATTCAGGGCTTGATCGCAAGAGGTGCCAACCCCAACTGCAAAACGACCAAAGATCAGCCTTTGGTAGGTCTTCCGCCTTTGACCTCCGCCCTCGCCATTTGTGTCATGTTCCGGCACCACGGCGCAACAGAGTTCTTGATCTCTGCCAGGGCCTCTCTCACTGGCGGTGTGAGCCTCTGCACGCCATTGATCGCGGCCGCAGTCGCAGACAGCGCCGAGGGTGTGCGCTTGCTGTGCGAAGCCCGATGCGACCCTCACCGGCGAAACCTTGCCGGCGCAGGGGCCTTCGGCACTGCCTGCACCCATGGCACGGTTCACGCAGTCGCTCGACTATTCCCGTAGCTTCTAGATACCCTTCAACGCCTCAGCCATTTTTTACATATTGATGAAGCTTGCTCGCCAAGATAGGTAAAGAGAGTCTTTCCGGTGGGATTTTGTTGCTGCTCAAGTTTCTGAGGTTGAGGAGCTGCTTCAGCAGACCGGAGGACATCGCCTGGACGTGACACTCGCCCTGCACGAGACCATGATGAACCATGGGGGGACTGCCACACTTGTTCAGCGATTGCTGGATTTGCGAGCTGACATGAATGATCAAAGTTTTACCTGGTGGAAGCCTTTCGTTGGGTTGGGACTGCTCTCCATGCAAAAGGTCGTGCAGCACAAGTTCGGGAAGAAGACCTTGTGCAGCAAGCTGATGTATCATGGTGGGCATGGTGGGACCCCGCTCATGCTGGCGATGCTGACCTCGCAGTACGAGGCTGCTGCTTGTCTCATTGCAGCAGGGGCCCGTCTGGACTTGCGTAACTCGAGAGGTTGGACAGCGAAGGACTTCGCAGAAGGACCCGTGCCAGACTTTCTACTGGAAGCCTTCGAAGGCAGCCGAGAAGGCTGTTGCAGAGTCACGTCTGCCGCTCTCAGAAACTCCTGCCTGCAGGCCTAGCGAGGCTATCGAGGATTTCGTGGACCACCAAAAAACAATCCCTCGTTGAATGTTCAAAGACATGCAACCTTGGGTGCAAGCTTCGTTCCGGAGGTCAGCTTGCCTTTCCGCCCATCTCTTTTCAAGCCGAAAATTTTGTCGCGTTTCAACATGCAAGCTTCATACCAAAGGTTGGCTTGCAACCGGAATCTTCTCCAGCACCCTATTGGAAGCCTTTCAAGGAAGCGGAAGAGGCTGTTGCAGGGTCGCATCTGCTCCCGAAGCTCCAGCTGAGGCAAGCAGATGTTGAGTTTTGATCGTCGTGCAAGCTTCGTACAATGCGGGCTTAGTCGCGGCAGCGTTTCCAGCCCGTCCAGCGCGTTTCAACATGCTACGTAGTATTACACCAAAGGTGCCATAACCTTCTCCAGCATTGCACTCTTGAAGGGGCGCAGTGCGACTTGGCGACAGGTGTGACAACGGAGAGCCGCCTGTGAAACATCAGGTGTTCTGAGAAGGGTTTTGGGTCAGCTCGTCATTTGTCATATTTGGTTTCTGGGAACAAACATCTTCAGGGGGCGATAACGATGTGGAGACCCAGGAGTCCGGCCTAAGCACCTCTCTCCCTGAGAGGCCCAAGTCTGCGACAAGGAACAAAAACTCGAATCATGCGCCGTTCGTGATGCGATTCCTGTTGCGTCTTTACGAGCATCTCACTCTCTACATGGTGTCCGACCCTGTCTGCTTCGACTACTTTGGTTCTTTCACATCGAGTCAGAGCTCAAGTCCTTGGGAGCCACGCAGTGTCTGTTACAAGCGAACAGACGAAGGCTTTCGAGCGGGCGAGGCAGCAGAATAGTGTTCAAACGAACAAACCCTTGCAGGAATCAAACAATGAAGTCCATAGAGGGAACCCGGATTGAGGAGGTGGCTCTAGGTAGCTTGACGTACCTTTGGAGGAAAGCAAACATGCCATTCAAAATTTCCAATCCAAGGCCGCGGAGGGTACGCCCCGACCTTACATGGGGCAGCTTGCCAAATCAGGGTCCTGTTTGGAGTTCCTGCACTCCAGTCGGGACCTGACGTCACCTGTGTGGCAAGCAACATGGGAATCAGGAAGCTGCTTTGCAAGTACTGTAGGCTCTTCAGTAGAACCGATGCGTGTTCAAGGCCCTTGCACTCCTTGGCTCGAACCCTGACCCGCTTCGAGGCGCGGCACAGCGCTAAGTCTCGTGTTTTGGCTTCCCCCAAGGTGTGGGGGTTCTGGCAGTTGAGCTCTCATCAACAATGCGGGGCGAAGCATCTTTAGCGGGCTTCTTTCCGGGCAAGGGAGTCGGTGGCCCCTTCGTCCAGGACCTTTCTCACATTCTGGCCTGGACTTGCCGGGGCCTCAGGCCTTGTCAGGCCCTGTGGAGATTGCGGTTTGGGTCTCTGTGCTGTCATGACAGGTTCGAGTCGTTTCTCTTCACCTCAAGGGTACCTCGCTGTGACTCAGCCCATCCGACCGACGGTCCCAACAGCACTGCCCTACCGACCCTCCTGTCGACCTCCTTTGCTTTGATAGAGAATGGGCCGCCACTTCCTCGACACTCTTGGTTAGCCTCGTGTTATGAATGCGCGCCTTCCCTGAACCCTTACCTGGCTTTACCTGCAGCTCAAAATGCATCAATCTGCCAGTTAAACCGAAGCCCCAAAGCCCTACACCCCAACTCCAGGGGTCCACTACGCTAGCACCCGAAGATCCTAAGCTAAACGTTGAGATCTTGGGCGGTTCTCGGCTCGGAAAGGGCCCCGGCCCCCCTCCCACCCCCTCCGCCATCGGGGCGGCGGGGGAACTCCGGCGGCTCACGTCTGTCGGGGCCTCTGAGTCGCTTTTCGATTTCATTCTCTGAAGTTGTACGGCTTTCGGGGCAGATGGCGTAGTAGTGTTTCGGCATTTGGGGGGGTCGAGAGGATCTCTGCACATAGGCTTGGGGCTGGAGTTTAGGTTCAGCCTGGGCCTTGTCACAACAGGCGCTTCCAACAGACAGTCCAAGGAAGTCTTGGCCAAAGTTCTCGCACCTCTTTGGGAGAAGCATGTTGTGTTGATTTGGAAGACTGGTGTCTGGTGCTGACAAGGAAGGAACTCAGAAATCTGCGAAGCGCTGCATTTCCTCGATCTCCCCAAAACAGGTGCCAGAAAACTAACAGACCAAGTCGCTGCCTCCCGCGGGGTTTAGTGGGGGAGGGGGGGGGTAATGGCTGTGTGAACAAAGACCTGCCTGAGGCCAACGTAGCATCGCCTCCGCAACGGCGAAATGGCATTTGACTCGGCAATCAGGGCTCAGGTTCTGGAGGTTCTGGATATCCAAGCTTTGCGCCATGAGTGAGACCTGATTCGGCCAGCTCTGTAGCTCATGGTAGTTCCATAGGTGCGGGTTACAAGTCCTCTTGCTAGGCAGGCCCACAAAGCCTAAACCTTAACACGCAAGCAAACGTTTCGAGGGCTTTGGAATTGTGGTTTTTGACGGCTTTGAGGGCGTTTCGGGTGTCAGTGATTTAGCCAGGGTATGGGAGAATCGCCTTCAGAAATCCTAAACCCTAAGCCCTAAACCCCAAACCCTAAACCCTAAACCATCTCAAGGCGCGGGTCCCTTGTGTACGCCTTCTGGCCTTGCTTCTATGGACTGCAATGGGGAGCCCCATTTCGAAGGCAGGTTGGCGAGTTGTGGATGACAAAGTTGCGGTTTGGGGTTGAGGGTTTCAGTAGGGTTCTAGGAACATTCTCCAGACAGGGCTTCAGCTTCGAGCGTTCAGGCGTTCAGGGACTCCGGCGACCTGTTTTGGGCGGGGCTTTAGGCTTGGGAGCTTTTTCAAAAGTTTGGGTTCTGGAGACGTCGCCCGCAAGCTGACGAGATATGAGAGGTCATCTCCCTTCTCAGCGACATGGAGGCGGGGTGGGCTAAGAGATTGTAGCTCCGAGTCGTCTCAAAGGAGACAGGGAGACCTGAGGATTTTACAGACTCTCTCGGCATGTTCTGGAGCAAAGTTGTGAACTTTACTCGTAGCATGCGGCCGAACTTGTAGTACGGCGGTGCTGCGCAGGAGAAGGTTAGGAGAGAGGGCATTGCCACCGACGAGGCAATGAAGGCCGTCGTTTCCTTGGTGTACCAAGTCATGAGTTGCTTGTTCAGCAGACCCCGAATCGCGGTGCGCACATCTTCGGAAATCTCTCTCAACTGCTAACGGCAAGTCCTGATCCCTAACCGTCCTAATCTCGGCGGCCACAAACTTGCCTGCCAGGAGAAGGAGATCTTCTGTGAGCGGAGAAACAGCGACCTCAGCCTCTCAGATGCATGCACGGCATCTTTTGGGATTAGGATGAAGGTCAATGGAGTGTGGAGTTTACGAGTGGGGGGCCAAAATCCCTGATGGCAGGTTACTCGATCAAGAAGAACGAGGACTCGAAGGAGGAGCTGGAAGCCAGGCGGGGGAAAGTTGGCGATCCCGAGGTTCTGAATCCCTAGCGCGTCCCAAGCGCACGGACCCTGAGCTTCTAGAAAAAGTGCTTCTTAGCCGAGGACGCGCTTTCTCCCCCCCCCCTCCCCACCTCCAAAGCGCCTGAGGCGCTTGGAGCATGTCTGCCCCAGGATCTCAAAGGCAGATTCTAAGCTTCAGACAGCCACCGACGACCTGCAGGATGGGGGGGTTATGTCCTTTTTTTCAGGGTTCAGGGGTTGAAGGCCTTCTGGTTTTTTTTGAGAAGCATCTTGATTCACCGTGGCTTGAAGACAGCTCGTGCGGTCCTTTGTTGCTTTGCTTGGGTGGCTCTTTGGGGTTAGTAGCGGTTACAATGGTAACGGTCAGTATCAGCTAGGGCAGGCTTCCACCTCCGTGAGTCTGTGGTTCCTGCGGTGCTGCTTGCCAGGAGGCGTTGAACAACATGCAATCCTACCAGGCAAGGTAGAGCGCCGAGACTTTCGGGCGTGTTCGGCTGCTTTGGCAAACTCATGAAGAACCCTAAGGCCCGCGGGCTGCGCTTCATAAAGCTTCTGATACTAAAAGTCCAAAGCCCTGAACACGACTTAATCACACCAATTTGCGATTTATGAGATCAGTGAACGCCCATGAAGAAACACTAAGTTGCAGGCTTGAGTTGCACTTAAGCTCGTTTCGATGTCAGCATCGGTTCTAAATCCTGGGAGACCTCTGCAGCAGGTCAACCTTGACACGGCGGCCGACGTTCGCAGTCAGGAGGGGTGCGTACGGCAGGTATGGGGTTTCAAGCTTGGGGTGGCTTTATTGGAGAGTTGTTCCACACTAGGGACCCTTCTGGGGTGCACAAAATCCTACGTACCACAAAAGTACACCTACAAGGTGTACAAGACCCTACAATTAAGAGCAGCCCCCGCGTAGCCGTGGCAATGCGTGGGTGTTCTGAACATTCGTGGTGGAAGAGCACTTTACATGAGCCATGGCATGATGGCAGAGCAACCTGAACGCAACGCTCAGGCATCGTTTTTACCATACCCTTGAAGTAAAGCTGTCGTTTCCCAACCTTCCCAACCTTCCCCAGCCCTCCCCCTTCTCCAAAACAGAGAGATAAAGGCAGCAAGAAGAATCGTTGCCTCGGCCCGCCTACACACTGCCACCCTGCAGCAAAGCCAAAAAGCCGTAACCCCTACGACTCTTAAAGCTTTCCTTCAGCTGACCCAAAGAAGCCGCGCCGAAGCAGGAGAGAGGCGACTTCGAAGCAGCGCAGAAGGCCGGGGATCAGGGAAGTTAGGATGCTTGGAGGGCTTGGAGGGCTTGGAGGGATTGAACCTTCAACCCCAACATGGAGCTGGTCTAGGGTCTAGGGGTCCAGAAACCGCAACAAAACCTAATGACTATCACATGCTAGCATGGGCCTCCGGGCGCATGCAAGTTGAGAAGTGTGGAAGTGCAAATGAGCAGGAATCCGAGGTGTTGGCGCAGCGCGATGCGTGTTTAGGGACAGCAAGAAAAGCAGCCAAATCACTCGGGAGTGGCTGCCGTTTTCTGTCTTTCGCTTGTTTCGCCTTGGCGGGAGCGCCGTTTCGAAAGAGGCCAGAACGCAAAAGCTTCGCGTAGGGCACTACTGGATAATAACTCGCACCAGGTGCCATTACAGCAATGTCGGTTGGCATTGCGGTGAAAAAGTTCCGCGAAATGATTTTGCGATTGCTCAGTTTGGGCTTTGCAACTGCGCTGCTTTGGGGTTTGGCCTTCGGGGTTTCGGGCCTTTTTGGGCTGCTCTGCTTTGTGTTCCGGCCTGCATGGTCTTGCGGATTTTGGGGTTGCACTAAGGGTTGAGGGTTTCGGATTGTCGGACTGTGGGCCGGCGCCTAAGTCAACGGCTGCGGTCGCACATGCCCCCCCCCCATCCCCCCAAAGAAGAAAAACCATGAAAACGAAACAGGGTGTACGAACGCACGTCTCACTTATCACTCTTCATTTTCTGAAAATGGCCAAGTAATTAATCCATACTAAACCAGATTCTGGGGGCTCGCCAATAAGGCCCATGAGGGACTGTCAGGGGGGGCATCTGGGCAGGCATTTTTGGTCCGCCTTAGGATCGGCTCCGTCAAGGTTTTGCCTTCAGGGGTGTTTAGGAGGTTAGGGCATTGTGAACATGGCTAAAGTTCGAGGGTCCGAGCCCCTGCTCCACATGGAACTTAGTCACATGGGTAGTTCGTCCTTTTTAGGGGGTTCTTATCTTATGGGTGCTGCGAGGGACCCAAAAAGGGGACCCTAGTTTAGAGAACTTTGAGAATAGGGACATACGTACACCCCCGCAGAAACCACAACAGAGGTTTGCTTGCCTGAGCCACCCCCTCGCCCTCGCCTCCTTCAGGTCCAATACAGGTTTGAGTTACGCTATGGGCCCATTTTATTCCAACATAGAATGATATAGAAGTACTGCAACAATAAGACCGCAATAATAACAGAACAATAGAAGCACATAATAAACATTAGAGCCTTAAGATGCCTTAAGCCTGACCTCAAAGCCTCCTGGCGAAGCCGTGAAACATCCACACGCGCAACAAACATAGGCGGCTTCGAGGTCTGCTCTGCTTCCAGGGATTTGTTGTCTTTAGGGCCTGTAGGGTTCGAAGTCCTGTCTCGGTGCTCCCCCTCCCCCCTTCTCGTAGGGCTTTCGGGTTGAGGGTTTGGGGCGTAGGACTTGATGGAGACCATGGTGTCCCTCGAGCGTGCGGTGGATGCGCTGGAAAGGGAGGCGCTGCCGACACAACACGCCGGAAGTGTTCCAAATGTTGGGGTGGGTTTACAGTCGAAAGATCCTTAAACCTAGACTGTTTCATGGGCTTGGTTGGGTCTTTCGGGTTTTGCAGCCTGCCAGGGCGTATCGATTGCACCCTTTTTGCGCATCAAGGGGCCGATGTCGCGCATTGATGTGTTGGCCCCCGCCTGCGGCTCCATCGAGAACCTCTTTCCTCCCACAGTGGGGCGCACTCGAAATCCCCAAGAAGTCCCTCGAAAAACCCCCCCGAACACCACCGCCCTAAAACCCTGCAGTGCAACCCCACAAATCTCGTGAAGCCTTGAAGCCTTAGAACTTAGAACCCTGGAGAAGGCTGCGAAAGGCTCTTCCGCGGCACTGCTGCAGGTACAAAAGGCCCAGGGGTTTAGCTCCGGATTCGGGCTTTGAGGCTGGAGGGCTTCAGGATTCGGGGTGTCTTGGGGGTAAGGGGAAAGAATCGACTCGGGCTTTTGGACAGGATTTTGGTTTTAGTTTTGGGTCGCTCCTGTCAATGTGCTCCATGGTCACGAGCGGGCTCTACACGGCTTGTTCATAGAGAGAGCCTTGTGGCGTAAGCCCACCAGAGTAGAAGCCACGCTTGCCCCCAGTGCCTCTGCTCCCTGCCTCTTCTCGTGCGGCACAGAGAGTCAGAGAGGCCCCAGATGTCCTGGCCGCCATCAACGTGATGGTTTCTGGAGCCATGATTGGCTCAGCGGCTTGACGAGAGAGCCCCCTCAACTTTCACTGAGGGTTTAAGTTAGGGCGCCCTTTGAGGAAGGGCTCCCATGTTGGGCTCTTGCACTTTGTTTGTTTCCTCAAGGCTGACGCCGACGGCTGCCTCCTCAGTGATCGCGCCTTGCGCAGATGCCTGCGACCCTTAATCCTACAGCTCTGAGGGCTAAGAATTACGCTACAGTGTCATTAGCCCTTGTCGTCTGCATTGGTCAGAATGATGTTAGTGTTAAAGGCTTGACGGCCTTCCTGCAGAGCGGGGGCGGAGACGAGGCTCCGGGAAAGATGTTTGAAGCTGAAAAGTTAAATGTTATTTACCGTGCCTGTTGACTGTGATTCTGCTTGTAGAAGGCAAGGACTTTCCAGCATAATGTGTCCTTGCTTCCCCTGGCGGCTGGAAGCCCAAAATCCTGCACTCTTCCGGAGGTTGATGAGCTGCAAGCTCCAAGCCCGGCCGTTTACGAGAGCAAGAGCGGCAGCATCGCCGCCCTCTCGGAAGATCTCTGAATTCCCTTTTCCCATGCGATCAGGCTTCTGACAGGCTCTTCCAGGAGGGTACCTACCATCTGAGAGTGTACGATAACAAGGAACCCCTAATATAGAACCCTCAAATAGTCGGATCCCCCTATCAGATATTAAAGATGGGGCCAAGCTGTCATGAAACTTGCCACCCCCGCTGATTTTCCTAAACCGCCATCTCGGATCTGAGGTCGAGATGCTGGAGGACATGCAGGATAAGGCGAAGTCCGAGCTGAATGGGCTGCGGCAGAAGGAGGCCGAGACCTGGGAAGGGGCTGCCGAAGTAGCTCATGAACCTAGCAGAAGCGGCAGGGTTCCACGATTTTTGAGGTTGGCCCTTTTCTAGGGCCTTAGAACCTTTAGGATCTGGGAGCCCCAGTTTCTCAACGGAGCCGACGCAGTGTGTTCCTCCATTCGTAGGTCGGAGGGCACCGGCACCTACCCCGACGGATCTAAGCCGAGAGGAGACCGCCAAGCACAGCTTCGCCATGATGCGCCAGTCCCTCGAAGGGCAGGTGGCCTTCGCGCAGGAGGAGGCATGGGGGGTGTGGGGTTGGGGGGGCCCACAGTGTGTGGTTGCAGACTCTAAAGTCAAAACTGGGGCCCCAAAGCTTGTCGCCGTGTGGCATTTCGCGCACCCGTGCAAGAGTCGAAGCCTTCTGGCGCAATCTTCAGCCCGCTTTTGGGTTGAGGGTCTGGTCAACTGTTTGTTCACTCTCCCCGCCTGCAACGACCCCAGCCCGTCATCCCCTTCAGCCCCGCCATCCAAGTTAGGGGCTTCATGAACCTAACCCCGAAATCCCGAAACCGACAGTACCCCTCCAGGTCAGGAAGCTAAAGGCTCAACAAGCGGAGCTCCAGACAACCAAGTCTACCGCGCAGAAAGACCTGGAGGCCCTTTGGGACTTAGGGTGCGGAGGTTAGAAGGGATGCAGGGATTTGAGGGTTCGGCAAGCAAGCTTGCAGTCGGATGAAGTGCGCCTAGCTGGGATAGCCCTCTCAGCTGAATCTCGCAATCCGAGCATCTGTTTAATTGGTGCCCCCCCCCCCCCCCCCCACCGCAATGAGAAAGGCAGGGCGCCGCAGCAATGTATTGACTCTCGATTAAAAACAATAGGGAAAGATGTGTAGTTTCACCGATCCAAACTGCAGCTCAGCGAACAAAACAAGAAGCCTGCGAACAGATTTTTGAACCACCCCGGAAAATGTTCTTTAAATGTGGTGGTACTTCCCCATACGAAAACCCCCCGCAATGGAAAGTAGTCTTGCCGCCGGATTTTCGACGAACAAAAATCTTTAAATGTGGAGGTATGAATTAAACAGATGCTGGGATAAGTGCTGAGCCACTGTGCTCCTGCATGGTTGGCGTGGTTGAGGGCCTGTTTAGGGTTGAGTTGAGGTTTGAGACAAGTATAATCGGTATAGCCGAATGCCTTTTCAAAACGTACCCCCCCCCCCCCCCCCAAAAGGGATTAAAATGAACCGTCGTCAGCACAAGATTGCACACTCAGTAAGTAGACCAGCAGCGTTTCCGAAACTCAGCTCGACAGCCCCCGAATCGAGCAACATCAAGTCAAGCCGAGACGAATCCCTCAATCCCTGAAACTCAAGCCCCCCTAAGTCGCTGAACCTCCACCATCCCGAAGCGCCTCAATCCTAAACCGCCTAAGCCCTAATGTACGGGTCGGAAGAATTACTAATAGCATTCCCTTAGGGTTCCTTTATCATTTACACTAAAAAAACCCCCCCAAAACGGTATTCTGTTTCCTTCAGGTCCCTATGTTACGCAGATTCAACCCATGGCATCCTCGAGCCCGATAAGCCGAAGTGCAGGAAGCCAGCTCGGACCTCCAGTCTGACAAGAAGGACGCGGTCGAGCTCTTAAGCCTAAGGGTTCTGGTAGGGTTTGCAGGGTTTTAGGGCTCCTGCTTACAGAAAGATGGTCCCTTTTCATTTTCATTATTCTTGTTTTTTCAATAGTTTTTTATCATGATGCAGGCGATTTTTGGAGTTCATGCCGGGTGGTGGCTTGGACCTTGTGGGATCATGGGCTGCTGTTTGACGATTTGCATCCGGCTTAGGCTTTGCCCGCCAAGATTTCTGGACAGGTTGCGGGGGTCGAAGCCCGGAGTTTTAACCCTGCACCCTGAAACCCTAAGCCCTAAGTTCATACGATGCTTAGCTCCCCCCCCCAGCAGCACCCCCCCCCAGATCCAGAAAACGCAAGACGTGCTGGGCTTGTGTAGGGTGGCACTGTGCCTACAGCTTGAATTAGGAGTCCTTGTGTTGTAGTGCTAGGCCTGCGGGGTGCCGTTTCAGGGCAGATACACGATCTCAGATCTCTGCTTTCTGGGCTTTTGTAGAGTTGGAATAACTGAGCTGAATTTAAATACTTTGCGAGCGGGGTTTTGGGTTGAGGGCTTAGGGCTAGGGTTTAGGGTCTACGGCTTACGAGAGACGTCCATCCAAAGCCCAAACCTGCCGCTGCCTCACACGCCTCGGGTCGTTAAGTGTGACTGGGTTCTCTTTGGGTCGC